TTTCTTGAGGAATCCACAACCGGAGCCTTCGGCTACCCAAAGCCTGACCCACAATGCAGTGGGGCGGTGTGAAAACCGCAGTTGCCGGTGTCCTGTTCATCGGATCATACGCCTTTCGGACAGGGTTAAACGTCCAAGGTGCACAATACACCTCAATGCCCAATCGAGCGGGTGACCACTGCCACAAACGAAAAGGTGTGGTTCGTACGCCTCCTCATGGTTGGTTTGGTATCAGGGTTTTTGGCCAACTCCCCTAGGTGAACTACCAGTGGCCCTCCAACCCAGATATCGGCTTTTTGTCCTCTCACTTTGGTGGGAAACACCTCCGCCACGAGAAGGCAATGAGTAGGGCTTCCTCAGTAGNAGTCGTATGGGAGCATTGCGTGAAGCTCAAGGGAAAGGTGACCAGCCGCAGCCCTAGACACCCACCCCCGATCATACTGAGGCTTTCGGAGGCCTGTCGCGTGAGGTCTTTGGATTTCGGTTCAGTGTGTTCTTAGGTAGCGCGTTGATTATCGGTCCGCTGTTCCTGATTGGGCCTTATTCTCATGCACCCCCATAAGAGAAGCGGAACGTGAACGGTCAGCACCTCATCGGCTGGGGGCTGCCCGGGAGGGCGGTAGCTGTCCAATGAAGTGCAAGGACTTCTCACAGCGTTTAGCACTTACCTGCTTCCTCGGGCTCGGGCAATCTGGTAATATTTTGTCTGCGAACTAATCATGAATTAATTCTTATTCTTTAAAAATTCTTTCATCACGAGCTGCTGGATATACAATCTGAAACCGGACCGGTGTGAAACGCATTGATATAAATGTGGACCAGGAAACAAATTGAAGCAGTTTACTGTACACTTGCTGATTTACCCGGTAATCAGTCACCCGCTTGTTTGTGAAATGCAAACCCGTTACGCAAAATTATATTCTGTTAAAAATAAATTCCTTATGAGTATTAATCGGAGTAGACACCAAAAAGTGGCGCATCAAAACGGATGGGTGGCCGGGACACGAGGACAACGCAGATGAATGAGGACATCTATCAGCCGCATTGTTTGGCGCTTGACAATAGGAAACATTTCAAGTAGTGTAGATAACAACAGCAAACCGCCGAATTTTTTTGCGCCACTTCAAAGGAGGGAAAAGCCGAGCAACGCTCGTGATGCAGACTGTACAGGGGTCTTCACTAGTTGGGTGTGGTGTGGATCACAAGGAAGTGAAGTCATTCAAACACCTGAAGGGAAACTTCAAAAGAGTCAAATATCTCGAATGTGAGATCTATTTGATTGTGTCCGCTTTTATTGCTTCATTCAGTTTGTTTGAAACTTGTGGAATGACCGGGATGATATTTTAGTTGTACTGTACAGTTGGTCAGATGGCTCAGACCGAAGGGTGAACTGGGTATTTCTTGCGTTTCATCCGTTGAGAATTCCATTTCACTGCTTAACTCCTCCAACAAATCGCTAAGCCGTGCCAATGTTTGTGCTCGACCTCGAACGGATAAAAACGGCCATGATTCTCGAATTTTACGAATGTGAACCAAAGGCCGGGCACTTCGACGGCGAGAGTTACTTTCAGTCACAGATGATGGTGTTTGTCCTTGTCTGGATACCGCGCACTTTGATTTCAAACCGGACCGACAAGAACGTGATGCCTGAATTCGGTGAAAATGAGCGAGAACATAGAAGAGATATGATAACGAATGAAGTACACACGTGATGCATACAAGTAAAACTACAAATTCCATTTTTAGCTTTTAGGACAACTGTTAACGTACGGTCACACAAGTTCTCGATAGATATAAGTGAAAGGAGAGGAGGGAAATGACATTGGTAGCTCAAACCCAAATATCAATGCTGCGCCGAGCAAAACTGATATCATTACATACGTTCGCTTGTTGTTTGACTTGAAAAAGGGCATCCAAGGGGGTTGAAACGTCGTCAGCCGACAAATTACCTTAGGTTTTCTCTCGTTGTGGTTAATCCAAACATTCCGATAAGGATACAATACCATAACATATTATTGCTTAAAAGATCAACAAACGTATCAGTTGCCACGGTGAGCGATGTTTGCTGAGGCAGGTAGTGAGCGTAAGAAAGTCAAGGGTGGTCCAGCTAAGACCTGGCATGACGGTATGAAAATCCTAACCGGAAGACCCGATCACAAAAGTCGCCTTAGGTTACTTGGCTGGGGACCTCGGATAATGGTCACCGATGGTTAGAGACACTGAGTGATATGGCTGGGCGTCGTAAACTGGCGTTCTTACACCTTGTCAATTATTCTGCAACATTAGTCCACTGATATTCTAAATTTTCCCTTGGATCCTACTTTCAACCTTTCTTGTCTTTCTCCTAATGTTCATCCAAATGGGTGGCCAAAAGACAGCAACCAAAACCGGCGCATGATTGTGCATGGTTAGTGGTTGTATAAACTGAACTGAATTGAAAGTATCGGAAAATGAAATCGTGTTGTGCACTGAGAAAACACAAATACATTTCTTTTCAGACCAATTTTTCGATGAATCTCTCACATTGACTAAAAGTAAACAGTGAGTATAGCAGAAAAGCAAGCAAACAAACACAACTGACTGGACTGGTAATCTGTCTTCCAGCTGTATTTCCGTTGAGCAAGTACGGATATAGCGAGAGAGAAAATAGGAACAACAAATAGTAGTAGCCGGCTCGAGAGCACAGGTTTATCAACAGAGCACAGATAGCCTTCAGACATTCCTAAAGCAGAGTTGACGGGAATAGTTTTGTTGGTGCAATCAGATCCTTTAGACAGGTTGAAATCGATGGCAAACATTGGGTGGTGGTGGCGCAGTGATTTAGTCGCTGTCACAGACGTGCTTCGGACTCTATGGTCCAAGGTTCGGGCCCCGCCACCACCACCCAACTTTGGTGGTAGGCAACTTTGCTGTTATCCGGTTCAATATTACGCTTAACCTGTCGGGGCCTTATGTGGTTCACCACTCTAAGTCCAAGGCCTCAGGTTACCGGTCTCCATCACTGAACAGCAGGTCCTCGTGAATATGGGGTTTACCCCGTCTTCTGGTTATCACACGAGAGTATGTAATAAAAAAACGATCAAAGAAACAGAATGATTACAAAAATTTGGTGTCAACTTGGTGAATCAACTTACCTGCAAATAACTACCGTTAGTGTGTAACCGCTGTTTTCCTCTCACAAAACCGGAACTACGGGGCGTTGTTGACCCGGGAAGGACCGTGATGTGGGAGTTCACATCATTTGCTCGACATGCGTTCACAAAACCGCCACGACCAGGACGACGGGACGCGAATACTTGCAAATGGGATCCGGAGTAACGCTTTGCAAGAAGATTAGTTCCTGTGTTATAGTCGACCATACTGCAATCTTCGTAATCGGATGAGGTGACCGAACTATCCGAACTGTACACGGGCATAGACACATCGGATGCACTGTGGGAGCGTTGCATCAAACGTGCACCCTGAGTGCCACGACGTCCAGGACCGAAATCTAACATCTCATCTAGAATGTGGCGTGTGGGCCGACGAATGGACCGGGTCCGTCGATCTGAGGGTTCAATCGCATTTCGCAACTTCGCTTGTGAGCATGGTTTTCCGACCAAATAGTGAGCCAATTTATTAAGGGGAACTGCTAGTTCAGGCCGAGGCGGCTTATGTGGGTCCGATGGAGTTACACCGTTGCAAACGGAGCCTGACAGAAATGGAAGAAGTTCTATGGCTCGGAAGACACCCGTCTGTAAGGCACCATGAGTACATTCCTGTCAGACAAAAAGAAGAATAACTGTGAAAGATCACTTGCATAGGTCAGGGAAAGTAAATCATCAGCAATTAAGTAATTCAACAGCTCATTGTGATTCCGTAGTGTTTTCCTTTAAACTACATTGTCTTTTAGATGTAAAAATTGATCATTGGATTTGGAATTCAGGGACTAGGTACTTTTGGACGGCGTGACGAGCGACCGATACTCACCCACTTGTTCTTTATCTTTTTATTAAACATAATGTGACTTACAGTAAAAGGACAAATCCCTATAATCGAAGACCATATTGTAAAAAGGAGAATAGTACGAAAATATTTACTGACGATCCAGTTCATTGATTCTGCTTTTAAAGAGTGGAAAGTTGTAATCTGGGCGAAGAACAGGAGAGATATTGGCCCACAACCTAGTAGTTCAGTGAAAAGAGAAGATTAGGGCGGAAAAGTACTACATCATGTGACCGAAATCTGATAAGGACGACTAGATGCTTGTGTGCGGGATGGACGGGAAGAGTTACTGTTGAGGCACGTTACAAAGACCAAAAACCAAAGCAGTAAAGGTAGAGGGGGGACGGTGAAGCCACAGTCCGACGATAGGTTATTGACTACAGATTGAAGGTTAGGGAAGGATCATCGATCAGCCGGATGGCTGAACACCTTCAAGAAGGGAAATAGAAGACGAAGCCCCACCCTACATGTGACTGCAACACTCAAGGACAAGGCGGATTTGAACAATGTACAGCAAAAGATGAGCTGGGGTGAAAAAGTGTCTGGTGCAGAATAAAGAAACAACCTCGAGCGCAGCACAAAAAGCAAGCTGAGCTAGAAAAAGCGGACCAGCATAAAGAATAAGCTACAGGCGATTAAAGAAGGAAAACAATATGTTGAACGCAGCTGGGTGCAATCAAAAGATAAGTAAGCGGGGGGGAGAATGAATGGTAGTTAAATAAACTGAAAGAAGAGAGGTTTTAAGAAGCTTTGAAATAAAAATAGTTGGCAATACCTCAGAAGGAAATGATTTCGAGATTAGAGTCTTGTGAAGCATTAACTTCATGACGGTCAAGATCGATATTGGTTTAGGCATGGAGAGTAGTGCGGTAGGAGGGAAATGTGGAGGCTGGTGTCATCGGTAAAGAAATGGATTGGTCTGACAGTCTTGGAAAGGAGATCATTGATAATTAAAAGAGAGAGGATGGGTGCAAGTACCGAACCTTGGGGAACGCCATCATTCACAGGGAACAGCTGATAAAGGACCCCACCAACTCAGACGGGGACTGTCCACTTACTGAGGAAACTTGATATCCACAAAACGAGAGCCGGAGAGAATCCGAAAACAGGTAGTTTCACCAGTGGGTCTTCATGCCAAACTCATTCGAAGTCCTTTGAGACATCAAGCGAGGCCAAGTGTGTTTCTCCGTGGTTATCGAGTGTAGCTGACCAGGATTGTGAGCCAAAAGCTAGCAGGTCACCGGTGGAACGAGGCCGGCCGAAGCCATATTGGCGATCGCTCAGTAGTCCTTTATGTTCGAAGAACGTGCGCAGTTAGTAAGGATGATGGTTTCAAATACTTTCGAAAGAACAGATATGAATGAAATGGGTCGGTAATTGTTGGGGTCAGAAGAATCGTTTGGGAATAGGAAAAATCACATCGTGTTTCCAAAAGTTTGTGAAACCAGAAAGTTGGAGAGAAGTAAAACAGGAGCCAACTCGGGAGCACACGTTTTAAAGACGAGTGGAACACGGTCTGGATCGAGTGGTTTGTTTGCGTTTAGGGAATGCCATGTTTGGCGGATTTTACTGGTGCTAATAAGAGATCGACAAGGGTTGAAAGTGAAATGGGATGAGGGTAGAGCAGTGGAATAAATGGATACGGTGGCGTTGGCGGCAAACCGGCAGACAGAAGCCTCAGCTTTCTCCTATGGTTGACACCTGAGGCCACCAGACGAATTACAGATCGGGGAGAAATCGGAAGAGCAGAAATTAGGAGAAATTGCTTAGGCAAGGAACCCAAATGTTCGGCTACCGATGTATGATACCAATTTTGGGGGTCTACAGCGAACGACGCGTTCTTTGGTTCTCTGAATGGTTGTCGAGCACTTGTTTCTAGCTTGCATGAAGCGATGTTGAGTGTTGAAAATGGACAAGTGGTGCCAGCGGTGAAAGGCTGTTTTAGGCGTACAGCACGTTCAAATGTGTGGCTAAACCACTCAGGAGATGTGGGTTTGCCCGGTTTGGATAAGTGTGGAATCAAAAGATGCACAACGTGAAGAAAAATGTCGATGAAGTTGGAAATAGATTTAGAAACATCAGAAAGGAAACAATCGTTCCACGGATAAGAAGCTAGGAAATTACGAAAACCGCCCCAGTTGGCTGAGTTGCAGCGCCGAAATGTGTTTGAGGTGAGTGGCGGATCGGGGCTAGTAAACTTAATAAATTAAGAAACAACACAGGGATCC